ATGCTAATATAGTGGGTTCTTTGATGTATGTTATGGTTTGTACTAGACCCGACATATCATATGCAGTAAGTCTTGTAAGTAGGTACATGACGAATCGTGGAAAGGCTCACTGGCGAGCATTGAAGTGGATTCTAAGGTACATGAATGGGTCTCTGAATAGATTCCTAATTTATGGTGGAGCCTTGGGTGAGGATAGTAAAGCAGCAATCAAAGGATATGTTGACTCTGATTATGCAGGTTGTATGGATTCTAGAAAGTCTATTTCTGGGTATGTGTTCATTATGTTTGGGACAACAATCAGTTGGGAAGCTACACTTCAGAAGGTCGTTGCCTTATCAACCAATGAAGTGGAATATATTTCTCTAACTGAAGTTGTGAAGGAATCATTATGGCTTGAAGGTTTTGTAAAGGAGCTAAAACTTTAAGGTCGAGTTATCATTGTTAAATGTGATAGTCAAAGTACAATACACCTGTCGAAGAATTCATCCTAACATGAGCAAACCAAGCACATTGATGTGAGGCTGCATTTCGTCAGAGGGGTAATCGAGCATGGAGAAGTCCAAGTGCTGAAGGTTTCGACAGATCATAATGTTGTTGATATGATCATCGAGACGTTGCCCAGTTGCAAGTTTTTTTCACTGTATGCAGTTGATAAAGCTGCATGAAGAAAGATAGTTTCTTGATGTTATAGAGTTAGATCCAAGGTGGAGATTTGTGAGATATTGGATCAAACTCTAGTACGGTCGAAGGGTAGCTTCTGCTTCGACAGGAATTAAGCATGAGGTCGAAGTCTGTTCACATGTTGTTGTCGCGAGTAATGGGTGTTGTAGTCAAAGTTTGTTCTAACATGCATTAGTCAATATTGCTAGGTTTGTTAACATGTTGAATTGGGTCTTGCTTGTAAACCCAATTGTTTAAGTTATCTTGAACCCTAAGTTAGCTTGTAATGAGTAATTGTTAAAAACCCCATTAGGTTAGTATGTTAGTTTTCTTATAAATAGCATGCTAGTCTTTCATCTTGGCATAAGGAAAAATAGGAAGATAAAATCATAATTTCAACAGAGAGAGGTTATTTTGTTATTCTTGTATACTTGTAATCTTGTTTCTAAGAGAAAGGAAAGAATAGCAGTTTATAACCAATCATTGTTGTTCCTAGTTGTTTTACCTTATTTTCTTTGTTAACCCTAACTCTTGTGTGTTTCTTGATCATAAAGAAATCGTTTGTACTTTGTTTCAAGGTATCCGATTCACAATATATATATATATATATATATATATATATATATATATATATATATATATATATATATATATATATATATATATATATATATATATATATATATATATATATATATATATATATATATATATATATATATATATATATATATATATATATATATATATATATATATATATATATATATATATATATATATATATATATATATATATATATATATATATATATATATATATATATATATATATATATATATATATATATATATATATATATATATATATATATATTCATTATTAAATTAAAAAAAATTAAAATAAAAAAATATATATTTTATAAGGTGTCGCTAATTCAATAGGCGAATGTTTCAATTATTTAAGAGGGATCATTCATTCATTGGGCGGGTGCTATATGCAGGAATTTTTTTTTTGTTTTGAAAAGATGTTAGCTTGGAAAATATGGTTGAATATAGTGACATATTGGAAAAAATTTCTAAAAACATGATACCCTAGTAAAATTTTCAAAATTTCTCATTTATCATGGTTCTAGCCATCTCTTAAAAATATTGATTTTCCTCTCTACAACTCCATTATATTGTGGAGTTCTAGGTAATGATCAATCATGGGAATACCATTTTCTTCACAAATATTTTCAATGGGTTTGTTTTAGAATTCCCCACCATGATCAATTCTAATTGTTTCGTTTCTCAAAGTCTTTATTTCTTGCAACTAGCACCTAGATTTAAGGCACTATGTGAGAATGAATTGAGTATAGATATTGTTTTTCATTCAATGTTTGTGATTGTTATTTAAATTATGCATCAAAATTAGTTGTCACGAAGAGATAAACATTGTATCATTAGTCATGTACATTCTTAAGAATCAACTTAAGAGAAATTTTTATTTTTTATAACATTTTATATCGCGATTTTCCTTCACAACTACTATAACCATCAATAATGACCAGTGCATATTTTTTATTATGAATTATGATTGTTTTCATATGACCATAAAAACCAATGTGTAAAAGCTCTAGTCTTATTGAGGAGGAAACAATATTTTTAAAATGAAAAGAAGTTTTTCTTAAGTTTTCCTTTTAGAGATGTCTCACAAAGAACATCTGATTATAACTTCAAATTTGATAGACATCTCAAAATATTAAGCTCATTAATCTTTGAAATTAATCTTAAATTAGCATGCCATAAAAGTCCGTGTTATATCCAATGCTCTTCGTTCACACGAGACATTTCACCAGTTCTTTCTGAAAACTAGACAATTAAAATTTTATAAATATTTTTTTCATTGAAACAATAAATAGGACAAGACATATTTATAATTAACAACTTTAAAATACTTTTGGTTAAAAACTCAATCATAACCAATTTTTCTTTAAAATACTTTTGATTAAAAACTCAAGCATAACCAATTTTTTTTATTGACTTATGCTCACTAGATTATACCTGAGCTTTTCTACTAATAGCATGTTAATAATTGAGGGAAGAAAATTGTTACCTACAAACCCAAAACCTACTATTTTTTTCTATCTAGTTCCCTAAAAACCGACATTACCTTCAATTTTAATTGCTAGGATTTTTTCTATCTAGTTTCACTCATTTTATATTTGAACCCATTTTATTTCTATAGATTGTTAGAAATATTTTTGAAATTTTTTTTAATACTTATTATAACTATACTCGCTCTCTAGAGGACTAAGATGTTTGGTTTTTAAAAGCATTATTTTTTGTTTTTAAAACAACAACCGCTTTTTCCAAAATTTCATGATATTTTAATGACATCCCATAAATCTTTTTAAGACCTTTGTATTTGTTAGACATTTTTAAAAAAATTCAATTAATTCATTTAAAGAAAACACAAGTTTATCATGTGATAAATTAGAGAATACTTCATTATTATCGTTATTGTTTGTTGTGTCGTTTCCGAGGATGTTGTTGTCATTAGAAAAAAAATTAACATGTTATTCATCTTCTTCATTCATGATTATTTCATGCACCCGTGAAACCTTTTTTATTTCCTATAAATTTATTTCTCTCTTTTTTTTTAAGCTTTGGACTATAATCTCAATCTTAAAGAGATTTTCACTATAATCCAATTAACTACAAATTCACTAAGGTATTTCCAATTCAAAATGATTATAGCTTAGATTTATAGGACGTAGATTCCAATGCTTGAATGCTATAACACTCCATAGGTCTTCACAATAAAGAAAAATGAACTCATAGAAATCTTTTTGAAGAAAGATCAAACCCCATTGACCCAAAGACTTTCAAAGCACCAAGACTTTTGCACAATGCTTCAACCTTTAACATTGTTTCACACTTGGGCTATAAGATATAACCAGGTAGTTTATGCTTACAAATCTCTAATACAACAAGATAACCGAATTTATGAACTGTATAGAATTGAAACTAAAAAAATAAGTTATTATATTGGTTAGACAATCGATTTTTTTAAAATAGGAAATAGACTCCAATCACACACTAGTACAAGGGGTACTCAACCCAGAACAAATACATAAGCAGAAATATTACATCCGCTTAAGACCAGAAACAGGTGCAACATGCAAATCGTAAAAAGAACAAAGGGAAGAAGAACTAATTACAGAACATAACCATCTCTACGACTCGAACCGAATCGAATGAATTAACTCCGATGCATCGAAAACCTTGTTGTTGAATATGAATTATTTCGACCCTTCCATATCACCCACGCCACGATCTGCCAAATAAAAGAGTCTTTAACAGTTCCAACCTCCTTACCCAAAATGCTAGAAAAACGGACAAACTCAGTCGCATATCACCAAGTCACTTTTCCACTCCCATCCACACGACCTTAGAATTTTCGCAAGACAAAAAGAGACGCTAAGAAGAATCTATAAAACTATTCCGCAACATACAATTCAAATCATTACCTCCAAAATTGATTCCTCTTCTAGCCAATTGTTCTTTATTCGTGATTCTATCCACATAAAAAACCTCCACGAAAATATATGCACTTTAGAATGGACCTTCGATTTCCATAAGAGATTCAGAGCCCGAACTACATTATCATTAGCTAAAGTTTACTTCTTCCTAGCTCGCAGGAGATTCGAGTAATACGTGCTAACAGAATAAACTTCCTTGTCTGCAAGAGTCCAGATAAACCTATCCACGTCATTATTCTCAATGAATCTTTTTCATCTAATAGAGCATTGAGCTCCTCTAAATCTGATGAAAGAGCAGATCCAGAAGGAAAAAGAAGGAAAGAAATAATCCACCTCCAGTTCGAGCCACACCAAAAACCAGCAGAGGTCATGCTGCAACTACGATTAGAATAGACACTAAACAGCCACGGGAAAGCGTCCTTGAGAGATTAATTTTCCATCCATTTGCATTGCCCAAACGGAATCCTTTTCCCATCATCCACGTCACCTCAAATATTCTCATGAACATGTCCACCTCCTTCTTCTTATCGAAACTTATTGACATTAAATCACACCGTCAAATGGAGTCCTTATTGTCCGCTCTCGAACTGCCACTACACAAAACATCAATAGCCAAATTTGAATTTGACGCCGAATATCTATGATCCAAAATACCTTTCCAAAGTGCATTTTCTTCTGAAATGATTCTCCACTTCAATTTAAGAAGAAGAGCTTTGTTAAACAAGGATAAATCCTTGATCCCAAGCCCATCGTTCTCCTTCGAAGAGCAAACAGTCTTCCAACTTACCCAATGAATGTGACGATGATTAGAATTTCATCCCCACAAGAACCTCGATTGAATATTGATCAGCTCCTTTAAAATATTCACAGGAACCTTATAAAACGAAAGTGTGTAAATCGGCAACACATTCAACATATAATTTATCATGACCACTCTTCCCCCGATCGACAAATGCTTTCCTCTCCAAACAATCAACCTACTTCTAACAACGTCTAGAATTGATTTCCATGTCTTCACCTTCCGCGGCGAAACCCCAACCATGATGCCTAGAAATTTAATAGGAAGCAGATTTACCGTGCAATGAAGAAACACGACAACCGCTTCAAGAAAATCATTCTTCAAATTAACTCCACTTAAACTACTTTTAAAGAGATTAACCTTCAGCCTCAGCACCATTTAAAAAATTTACTTTTAAAATTTTAGTACGATTCAGAATTCTGAAATTATTAAAAAGTTTAGTACGATTCGGAATTCTGAAACCGTATATCAAACTAATAATTTTGGTTTAGTTTAATTAAGAATAAATTGAAACGGTTTTAAATTTACTTTTATATAATTCAGTTTTAATTTAGTTTTTCTTCTTCTTCAAATTGTACCATAAATAGTCCTAACCGTAGATATTGTTATTTATAACTAGAGAAAATGTACACTAGGTTTGGTTGTTGAAATTATAGTTGAACTCTTATCTTTTTGTTTTGCATGCAGCGAACCAATGAGGATGAATTGAGAAACGCGAGATTGAGGTAAGGTTTTATGACCCTTGGCAGCCATGGTCCCGCAAACGAATTTCAAATCCTAAAACTTAATTCAAATATTCGCAAAAAAGAAATATCTTATCTCAAAAGAAGCAAAACTTATGATGGGATGATGCACAAAAGTCCAGCATGATGCATCATCTTGATGTGGAGAAACCATGATGAAAAAAATGAAATGAGTCTTGATGCTAAACTTATACGCATAAAGAAATAACGTGCATTGGCAATTCACTAGTGGTAAAATACATGTGCATAATGTGCATGTGATGCATCAATTACACAAAACGATGTGATTAGGGGGATGAAGTGAAGCACCAAACATGACTATAAAGACACGAGATCCCAAAAAGAGAGCATGCACCCATCAGAAGAACCTCGATTGAATATTGATCAGCTCCTTTAAAATCTTCAAAGGAACCTTATAAAACGAAAGTGTGTAAATCGGCAACACATTCAACATATAATTTATCATGACCACTCTTCCCCCGATCGACAAATGCTTTCCTCTCCAGACAATCAGCCTACTTCTAACAACCTCTAGAATTGATTTCCATGTCTTTACCTTCCGCGGCGAAACCCCAACCATGATGCCTAGAAATTTAATAGGAAGCAGATTTACCGTGTAATGAAGAAACGCGACAACCGCTTCAAGAAAATCATTCTTCAAATTAACTCCACTTAAACTATTTTTAAAGAGATTAACCTCCAGCTTCGGCACCATTTAAAAAATTTACTTTTAAAAGTTTAGTACGATTCAGAATTCTGAAATTATTAAAAAGTTTAGTACGATTCGAAATTTTGAAACCGTATATCGAACTAATAATTTTGGTTTAGTTTAATTAAGAATAAATTGAAACGGTTTTAAATTTACTTTTATATAATTCAGTTTTAATTTAGTTTTTCTTCTTCTTCAAATTGTACCATAAATAGTCCTAACCGTAGATATTGTTATTTATAACTAGAGCAAATGTACACTACGGTTTGGTTGTTGAAATTATAGTTGAACTCTTATCTTTTTGTTTTGCATGCAGGGAACCAATGAGGATGAATTGAGAAAGGCGGGATTGAGGTAAGGTTTTATGACCCTTGGCAGCCATGGTCCCGCAAACGAATTTCAAATCCTAAAACTTAATTCAAATATTCACAAAAAAGAAATATCTTATCTCAAAAGAAACAAAACTTATGACGGGAGGATGCACAAAAATCCAGCATGATGTATCATCTTGATGTGGAGAAACCATGATGAAAAAATGAAATGAGTCTTGATGTTAAACCTATACGCATAAAGAAATAACGTGCATTGGCAATTCACTAGTGGTCAAATACATGTGCATAATGTGCATGTGATGCATCAATTACACAATACGATGTGATGAGAGGGATGAAGTGGGGCACCAAACATGACTATAAAGACACGAGATCCCAAAAAGAGAGGATGCACCCATCAGAAGAAAAATTGTGTATGTTTGGATTGGTGTGAATAAAATTGATTTTGATATAATTAAATTTGATAGAATTGAGTTTAACAAAATTGAGATTAACATAATTGATTTATGTTTGAATTTTTTTTTCTAAATGAGTTGAGTAACAAATTTCAACTTAAAAATCATGAAGTATAAGGAAAATATCAATTAGTTCAATTTCAATATGATTTTATCAAGTATAAGGTTTCCATGATCATCATGTAACGATTTTTTTACTTAAATGTCACTATTTGAAATATTATATACCAAACTGCCACAACATTAAAAAAATGTATCAGAATGCCATAACTTCATTTAAGAGTCGTTCAATGGAAGGACGAACCAATGATGTTGAATCTGTAATGCCCCAAACTGCTTTTCGGATTAACGACTGACCCTACAAACCAACACGGGTCTTTTCAGCATGCTTTTTCCTCACTCACATGCTTTCTGGAAAACTTCCGAAAAGGTCACCCATCCCTAAATTGCTCCAAGTCAAGCACGCTTAACTGTGGACCTTCAACCATGCAGTCCCATACCTGTATAGCCTCAGGATCCCTCTCATCATATGTGATTTGGTTTTTCCAAAGAAGCTTCTAGGAGTGTATCATTTTCATGCCTCACTCACCGACAATCACTCCCTCTCCCTCGGGTGTTACATGTAACCACTATCTGCCCTCATCGACCTCAGGTGTTACATGCCCACCAGCTTCTGCTTGGTTCGTCCTCGAACTACATCGTACTAGGAGAGGTCTGGCTCTGATACCATTTGTAACGCCCCAAACTGCTTTCCAGATTAACGACTGACCCTATAAACCAACACGGGTCTTTTCAGCATTCTTTTTCCTCACTCGCATGCTTTCTGGGAAACTTCCCAGAAGGTCACCCATCTCTAAATTTCTCTAAGTCAAGTATGCTTAACTGTGGAGTTCTTATGAGATGGGCTACTGAGAAGAAGATGCATCTTGTTGGTATAGGTAGTACCAATTAATCCTTATAAGCCTTCCTTCAACCATGCAGCCCCATACCTGCATAGCCTCAGGATCCCTCTCATTCCGATTTGATTTAGTTTTTCCCTAGAAGCTGCTAGGAGTGTCTCACTGTCATGCCTCACGCACCGAAAAACACTCCCTCGCCCTCAGGTGTTACATGTAACCACTCTCTGCCCTCATCGACCTCGGGTGTTACATGGACTAATGTAACACCCATTTCTACCCCACAAATATTATGCAAAATATTCACATTTATCAGAGTAAAATTTTAAACACCATAAAAATCACCTCAAAAGGCGCTTATTTCTCAATAAATTCAAATCAAGTTCAATGCTCCGTGAGCAACATTCAAACGTCAAGGAACATCTGCACGTTCCCACGTGGAGGCAACATTCAAACAGGCAGGGTGAGTAAAACGATTCATAATAATCAAAATAAGAATCAATATATAAACTGGCATCATTTTCATATTCAGAATCATAATCATCAAGGAACATCAAAGACCACAAAATTATAAATTACACCAATTGTCACATAAATGCAAATGCAACAAGACTCATGCATGTGGTACCGATCATCACAGTTCGATGGACACTGAGTCATCAACCCTCTACAGATCCCCATCAATAGGATCGATTCTATACATGAATTGGAGCACATCAAAATACCTCACATCCGCACAATGGAACTGAAGCCAAAGAAATCAAGGTCCTGAACCGAAGTTCGGATGCACATGAATGCATGATGCACAAGTCAATAATCATCCTCATAATAACATCATAGGTGCATCATCATCATCAAAATCATCATCATAAATAATTTCATCATAGAATCATCAAAAACTCATGGAAATATCATCATAGCTCATCATCATTACTCATAGGAATCATCATTATACAAACATGTATTAATCTCATCAGAATCATAGTTATACTCATGGTAATTCATCATACAATCACGTATTTAATCTCATTAAATATTATACAATAAATTATCTTACTTATACTATGTTATAGCCATATTCATTACCTTTCCAATGCTTCGAACGGGGGCCAAAACGGACTTACGGATCAAAAGTTACGTCCAAAACGATTTCGACCGAAAACATGAACATTCGTGACGGACAACATACAATTTTCAGCGTTTTTCACCGTTGGAGGCCTTCCGGACCTCCGATTTCGATTCCGTAAAAACCCAAACTCTTATAAAATTGCAACCCATTCAACATTGTAATTATCTCTAGTAAATTTACAATTTTAACACAATTAAACCATCTAATCATTATTTTAAGATTATGTCTAAAACCTTTAAAATTAAGGAATATAAGTTCAATCATGTATCATATTTACGCATCTAATTCCCATAATTTCTTACAAATACCCCACGGTCATTAGAGTTATCACAAACACTTATCCTACAGGGTTAAACAATCTCAACAACAGATTTTGGCCACGAAGGCCTAATTTCCTTTACTCTCAAATCAACCTTAAACCTATCCAACCATCAGTTCAAATTCATATACGGTTAAAACCTCAATAATAGATTTTGGCCTTGAATGCCTACTTTCTCTCGAACCCAAATCGACCTCAAACCTATCAGATCATCAGTTAGAAATACCCCACAGTCATTAGAGTTATCACAAGCACTTCTCCTACAGGGTTAAACAATCTCAACAACAGATTTTGGCCACGAAAGCCTAATTTCCTTTACTCTCAAATTAACCTTAAACCCATCAGACCATCTGTTCAAATCCATATACGGTTAAAACCTCAATAATAAATTTTGGCCATGAAGGCCTACTTTCCCTCGAACCCAAATCGACCTCAAACCTATCAGACCATCAGTTCAAATCCCTATACGGTTAAAACCTCAATAATAGATTTTGGCCATGAAGGTCTAATTTCCTTTATCTCAAATCAGCCTCAAACCCTTTAAACCCTTAAATCAGTTTTAAATACATTGAATCACATATTGAAAACAATGAAGGCAATACTCCACATACCTTAATTGCCAACTCTAAGCCTTTCTCTTTGATTCTTGGAAACCTGGCGAAACTTTTTCCTCAATCCTCTTTCTCAGAGCTCTGGCCTCTATTTCTTCCCTTTTCACGGTCGAACAGGAATGAATCATAATTCCCTCAAAATTCCTTTTTGTTAAACCTAACTTTGGGCCTTAAAATTGGGTTT